TACCCATTATGGTAATCTCTTTGTTGAGATAAGTGAGGCACCTAAGGGCTTTAAACAAGCCCTAAATCTGCTTTTATGTTTTTCTTCTAACAAGCACTAACCCCGGGTACGGGTCAGGTTTTAACTGCTTGCCATGAAATTGTGTCTGACTGGAACGTCTCCAGGATGGGGAAATGATATGGTTTAAAGGAGGAGCTGAGGGCCTTTGACCTTCTGGAGGCTTCTACCACCACTACCCAAGAGTCGGTGTCTTGTGAAGCACTGCACCTCTGTGAGCAAAGCAGCTCCTTGTGGAGCCTGCTCAACGCTGCACGTCATCTACCTAGATGCTAGCCAGGCACTGGGATGAGGGTGTCCTCTCCGCAGTGACTCCTGAGTCAGTCAGTTTTATAGTCAGACTGTAGAGGTTCATGTGTTAGTATGTGGTGAGGTTGCTTTGTGTGCTCAGAGTGAAACTTGAACACTACTTTTTACTCTAGAGCAGTGGTCCCAACCTTCCTAACACTGCGACTCCTTAATACAGTTCCTCATGCTGTAACCCCAACCATAGAATTATCTTGTTGCTACTTCATAACTGTAATTTTGCTACTGTTATGAATGTTATATAATATTATATATAATTATAATTATATCTGATAAGCAGGATACTTGGTATTTGACCCCTGTGAAAAGGTCATTTGACCTCCAGAAGGGTCTCTACCACAGGTTCCAAACCACTGCCCTAGAGTGTTTGTACCCTAGAGAGTGTGAGAGTTGAGAGTCTGGTTTCGTTTGTTTTAGTTTTGGTGCTGGAAACTGATAACTGGTAACTCAAGCTAGCACATAAAAGGCGAGCGCCTTACCACTAAGCTACAGCCCCTCTATTCTTAGTGTTTACAAAATGTGACCTTTGACCCAGTGAGAGACAACCACTTAGTGAATTGATTCCAACAAAAAAAGATGAAGACTGAAAAGAAGGAATTTAAATGTTCATAACTTTGTATTATATATACATTTCTACTATGACCCCACATAAGTTTAAGAGCCAGGCGTCGCTGTAAGTGCCTGTGGTCCCAGCTCTTTAAGAGCCTGAGGTTGGAGGATCTCTTCAGCCTGGGAATTTGAGTGTCTTAGGTCAGTAGAGAAGACCTGGATGGGAGAGAATGGAAGAAAAAGAAAGAAATTGAAAGTTAAGATTCTCCTGAGGGTTTTGGCACATGCCTTTAATCTCATACTCAGACAGACAGAGTCCTATAAGCTTGAAGCCAGTAGTTTTTATGTAGAGTTCCAAGTCAGCCAGGAATATGTAGGAGATCATGTCCAAAAAAAAAGAGAGAGAAAGAGAGAGACAGGCTGGGCAATGGTGTCACGTGCCTTTAATCTAATCCTAGCAGGCACAGGCAGCCATATCTCTGTGAGTTCAAAGCCAGCCTGGTCTACAGAGTGAATTCCACATAATGCCCTACACTATACAGAAATATGTTTGGGCCAGACATGGTGAATGCCTATAATTCCGGCACTTAAGAAATTTAAGCAGAAGGATCTTGAATTTTTTTTATATCTATTTTATTGAGCTCTACATTTACTCGCCTCCCTGCCTCTCCCCTCCTTCAACCCTCTCCCAAGGTCCCACGTTCCCAATTTACTCAGAAGATCTTGTTGGATCTTGAATTTTATGCACGCTGGGCCACATGACTTCTAGGCTAGTCTGGATTATACAAGATTTTTATCTCAGAAAACAAAGCTGTGTTTTGAAGGACTCTCTCAGGGAACGTTGATCTAAATGTATTGTCGCATTGGGTGGGTTTGTCTCTGCACAGTCTGGAAGCTTTTGTCTACAGGGCCTCTGGCCTTCTGGAGAACACTCGCCTTATCACCCTCACATGAGAGGTTTATTTCAGTCATGGCGAGATGGGGTGGGTACTGTAGTGTGACTTTGAGGAGAGGGAAGCTGGGGCACAGGATGTAGTGCTCTTCTCTGGAATCCCTCAGAAGGGAGCTACACTCAGCAGGTAGGAAATTTTTGAGGAAGGAATTGTAAGAGTGACTGGGGTTCTAATTATTAAAAATAAATATAAAACTTTCCCCTCTTTCTTTTTTTTCTGCAGATGTGGGACTTAGGAAAAGGCCTGGCGATCCCCCAAGTCGAACAGTCTGGAGTGGCTGTCTTGGTTCTTACTGTGCTGTCCTCTGTAGGACTGGCAGCCATGTAAAGAAAGAGCTGAAATTCCCAGCATTGTCCTGTACATCATCAAACCGATTTATATTCCTGTTTATTACCACTCTTATCTCCAGCCACCAAAGTTCCCCTGATTTGTTAGATGCCACGCACTTCAGATCCCATGGAGCTCAGCAGACACTTGAAGAACTGTAGTAGTAGGAAAGGCTGTCTTCCCTGGGCCAGGAGCCCTTCCTCCTGCTCCACATTTGACTCTGGTTTGTGCTGAGGGGTCTGCTTTCATCTCCTTCTTGCTGAGACAGTAGAAACAATGCCAGTTCTGTGGCTGCCCTGGGTGCCACTGTCTGTGGGCTGCTGGCTTAAAGGACAATTCTGTTCATTGGTCAGCTTGGGGCCTTTAGCGCCCACACAGTGGAACTGAGAGAAGAGAGGTGGAGGTGGAGGGAATTGCTCTGCCCAGCTAGAAGGAGATGAAGAGCGAGTTGGGTCTTGGAAGCTCATGCTTGGGGAAAAGATGCATAGCTTTTGATGGATGGGGACAATCCAAAAAATTGTATTTTCTGTTCTTTCTGTTTTTCACTTCTAATGAAACATACCTTTAATGTCATGTTTTCTGTTCTAAATTCTTGTCTCATCTTCTTTGGAAACAATTAAATTACTACTCATTTCATGTTGACTCTTTGAAATCTAGTGAGGGTCAGTAGAAAGGATCTATCTCATTTCTGCCCCTTCTTTTGGGTCTTGGACATTTACACCCTCCAGCCTGACCTTTCCCACCACTGACCACTGGAAAAAATATGAGGTCATCACATACAAGTAGTGAAGAGACTTGGGTACTACAGGGAAGCCTTAGGAAAGAGCAGAGAAGGGTAAGCATGTTGAGAGCTTGCTTTTTCGGGGAGGGCTAGGTGATTTGTGTAGCTCTGACTGTCCTGGAATTTGCTCTGTAGACCAGGCTGGCCTTGAACTCACGGAGATCCGCCTACCTCTGCCTCCTGAGTGCTGAGATTAAAGGCGTGTGCCACCACTGCCTGGCTCTGTCGAGAGCTTTTAAGGTCTTATAGGGTCACATCCTAGCTAGTTATATACTTCCTGGTACAGTTCAGCAGGTGTTTCATTTAAGGACTGAGCACCAGTAGAGGTGATAACTAAAGGTTAATGACCTACAGAGACAGATTTGGGCAGCAAGGGGTGGGGAATAGTAGAGAATTTTTAAAGCCGAGCAGGGGTGTGAGGTGTCAGAATCCTAGGAAAAAAATATATATAATGGAAGAGCTTGCTGTTTTATCCCTATTGGGACCCTGAATCCTTAGCAAGAGTGCTTTGTCTGTGGCGCTAGGGGAGGCCAGTTCCTTGTACATGCCAGCAAGCACTGTACCACTGAACTAGTCCTTAGCTAGGAGCGCTATAGTTTTTCCAGCTATTTTGAAAGTTTTTCATCTTTGGACTAGGTACTTGTCTCCATGGTAGAATGCAAAGTTCTCTGGCATCAAGAAAAATACTGCTCCAGGAGATCAGTCAGAGCAGTGGATTGAAGACACGGGCATTGAACAGGAAGACGTGAATTCAGCCATGGCGGTGGGGTGGGGTTGGGGCTTCTTTAGTAGTCTCATGAAATCGTTTGAAATAGGGTCTCCCCGTGTATCCCTGAGTGGCCTAGAACTCTAACCCAGGCTACCCTCCAGTGGGTGTGGTCTTACTTCTTTACTTCTGCCCCCCACCCCAGTGTGCATTAGCATCACCCTCGGCTCTCAGCCACCTGTATTCCCCGTTCCAAGTAGTCTTTGGGCTTAAGTGATGATCACTTCCCCTTTTCTCTAGACAAGCCCTGGGAAGTCTTGTGTAGCTAGGGATTCATGCTTGGCAAGCATAGCCGTAGCCCCAGTCCCATTGTCTTTTGTTTGTTTTCGAGACAGACCGTACCAAGCTACCTAAGCCCAGGCAGACCTTGAACCTGCTTCAGCACCCCAAGTAGCTGGAATTACAGGATATGCCACCACATCTGACTATCCTGGGAGATCGTATAGAGTTCCTCCAGCAAGAAACAGCTGTCTTCTAAGTTGTTCTTTGAGTAGGGTCAGTGTTCATGAGAAAATACCTTTGGCTTTAGACTTGACAAGGGCATTAAATTTAACAGCCATTGCCAGAAAGGTGCCCAGCAGGGCAATGGTAAACAGACTGGAGGCTGAAATGCATGTGGACTTCATGACTCTTGACTTCTCAACCATCCAGGAGCAGTGGAACACCCCAGCTTTTTCCTTTTTCTCCTTATGAGCTGGTCTGTCTGAGATAGCTCAGTGGGTATATGATCCAGCCACCAAGCCTGACGACCTGAGTTCGATCCCCAGGGTCTACACGGCAGAAGGCGAGAACCAACTCCCCCAGTCCCACAAGTTGTTTTCCGACCTCCACAAGCTTGAGGCACACCTACATATATTCATTAAGTAGGTGGGTAAACAATCCTAGAAAGGGTCACATACCCTACCTGTGATTTTGAAGATGCTGGTGTACAAAGTTCAGTGCTCTGAGGGTTTGCCCTCATGTGATGCAGACCAGTTTCTTCTTGGTCTTTGTTGAGGTGTAAATGACATTCTTTATCGAGACCTGCTTGCACGCCTTTAATCCTAGCACTTGGGAGGCAGAAGTAGGCAGATCTGTGAGTTTGAGGCTAGTCTGTTCTACAGAGTGAGTTCCAGGCCAGCCTGGTCTACACAAAGAAACCCTGTCGAAAAACCTAAGTAAAAAAGTCTTGGTGTTCTTTTCCCTACTCTTTCCCAGCCTTCTCTCAAATTATGGGTTACAAAAGACAGCCATAGAACGAGGAGAAAACCCAGGTCAGTAAAAGATTTAACAAACAATGTTTATTTGCCCAAATTTGCCTTTCATCTTGGCCCACCATTTTTCTGATCCACGTTTCTGAATACAGGGTCTTCCGTATTCCAGTCAGTCCCTAAAATGTCACCTGAGACTCCTCCCTTGCAGAGTTACAGCTTTGCATGTCTGGATCTCAGCTAGACAAGGACCTTCCTGCTTGAGAGTCTAACATGGGCTTGCAGGTGGGGTTAATTGCTTGGGTGAGTTAATTGGAGTCTGGGGCCCTGGTGTGTGGCCTGCAGAGGGGTGTGAGCTTTGAGTTCCTTCTGAGTTGTCACCATCCACAGCTGGGGAACTGGGAATTATTGTTGGGCTTGCTGCTTGCTGTACAGTCTTCGTACCAGATTTCTTCTGTATCTTCTGACTGTCAGGGCCATGGGGCTGTTGGGGTTAGAGTGGAAAAGATGATCATATTTCTGGTTAGGTCAAGATAATCCCCAGTCATCCTCAGAATTCGACTCCCTTTCTTCCTGTACCGTGGGCAAGTCAAGAATAGTTATATTTTACCTCCCCTTGAGACTATTTTATACTGGGGTTAAGGGTGGGCAACAAGATGGCTTTATTTTGTTCCTTAAGACTGTAGTGATTAGGGACTAGACAACACAAGACAGAACTGGTTAGAGGGCCCTCCCCTTGCTGGATTGGAATAACCACTTTGAGGTTGCGAAGAAGTGGAGACAGTAGGGGTTTGGGTTAGATGGGAAGGCTAGATACCTTGCCTAAGATTTCAGGACGCAGTCCATTAGAGGCGTTGAGTAGATCAGGATTCTTCTGTATCCATTTGGTGAGGGAGGCAGCAGCAGCAGTTGTGCGGGAGGTCAAGGTTACCCGAGCAGGTGGCACCTTCAGGGGCATTTGCCAGGTGCCCATGAAGGAACCCCAAGGACTTGCCTAAAAGGAAAAGGGAGTGCACAACAGGTCCTCATGGCTGCTGTGTCTGCTTGGCAGGGCTTGCTGGCCTCACATTCGTTCTGTCCCTTTGGTGTCTTAATAATGAAACGTCTGAAGGGGTCGTCTCCCTACTCTTCCTCTCTTCAGTCAGCTACGATGCTGGTTTTCAGCCCCTTTCCTTACAACACAAGTTTTGCATTCTTAGGCTAAGTGTGATAAAGGAGTCCTGTGCTTAAATACTGCCACTTGAGAACACTTTATATATTCATCATTTTCAGGACTTCCATGTGCTTGGCACAGCTCTGTCCTGGTGGATAAACTGGTTAGCAGGTTGGGGCCCTCACAGACTGTCTACTACAGTGATTGTAGCTCCATTTTTATGCATCAGCCCTTTTTGTGTTGTTTTGAGACAGCATCTCTCTGTATAGTCCTGACTGGCCTGGAATTCACTATGTCGACCAAGCTGACCTCAAACTCACAGAGATCCTCCTGCTTCCGCTTCCTGAGTGCTGGGATTAAAGGTGTGCACCACATCACCTGGCTAACTCTTACCTTTTTGATATGAATGGGCGTGGGGAATCTCACCTTGGAACGGGGCACTGAAGGCAAGAGATGACCTCGATCATTGGCAATAATCTGAGTGTAACCTTCGTGGGTATCCGCTCTCTGTGGTGGAGGTGGAAAGAGAAGTACTTGAAGCGAAAGGGGGGAGAAGATGAAGTGTCTGCGGGACTTGCAGTAGAGGCATGGGAGAGGTGAAGGTGGACCATTAGAAGGCTAAAGGAGTTAGGTGGGTGACAGGGAGAAGATGAGGCCAGTCACCATCAATTGGCTTTAGAAGGCACTGAGCTCGGAGTACCTCTTTTGTTGGTTTGGCAGGAGACCAGTTCTGCAGGTACTTGGGCGAGAAAGCTTTTTCGTACTGTGGAGAGAAAGAGGAGACTCAAAGGCTTCACACTCATGAAATCTAGATAGAGTTCTCGATAATTGAAAGCCAAAGACTTCAACAACTATGTGAACTCTTAACTCACCGTCACAAGGGGGTATATAGGGAGGAAGAGATCTTAAGGGAGGAGGGAACCTCCTCCCTTAGTGATGGGTTGAAAAGAAGGCAGAAGTGGGCACTACATCTGGGAAGAAAAGGACCCAGCTGGAGAGGGGAGAAGAGGGAGGGACTGAGAACAGTACACTTCATACACAGTCGACACCTTCAAGAGAAACCCTGTCTTGAAAAACAACAACAGCGACAAAAGACTGGATCTTATAAACATTTGTGTCGCTTTAACAAAAGGTAGTTGGCCATGATGACACACACACCTATAATCTCATTACTTTCCAGAGTGAAGTAGGAAGATTGAGTTTGTGGGCCAGTCTAGGTGGGCTACATAGTAGCAATACCTTACCCACCTCACACACACATAAAAGAAGAAGAAAAAAATCCACTAAAATTTGAATTCCAAGTGAACAAAATGTTATTTCCAAAAGAATTCCAAAATGTGTAGACAGGGTCTTCAGACAGGGTTCCACTACCACACTCTAGCTGGCCTGGAAGTTGCTATGTAGGCCAGGCTGGCCTCAAACTTTCAGTGATTATTTTACCTCCTTGTCCTAAATACTGGGATTACAGGTACATACCACCATGGCCGCATTTGTGCGGGGTGTGTGTGTGTGTGTGTGTGTGTGTGTGTGTGTGTGTGTGTTCGGGGCGGGGGAGCTCAGGCTAGCCTAGGATTCAGTATGTAGCCAAGGATACCTTGAACACCTGACCATCCTGCTTTGCCTCCAAAGTCCTAGGATCGCTGGGGAACACACCTACGCTCGCTTTAGTTACTGTGTCTTGAATTTTTCCGAAACAAATTAGGGAGAACTTTCATGTAAATAGCTGTAACTTTGTTATTTGACTTACAAAGCCTAAAGCGTTTACTCTGGCCTGTAAAAATAGAATCCCTGCCTTCTGGTTTACACTCTACAAGCTTAACTCAGGCTCTTTTTGCTGGTTCCTGGACCCTCCCAACTGTGAGGTGAAACCCTCAAGCCCCCTCAGTCCCCTCAATCCCCTCAACCCCCTCAGCGCCTGTTTGGGGAGCACAATGTGATGGAGGGATAGGCCCAAAGGTAAAATCTGGAAGGTAAAATCAAATTTTAGGGTGTAGAACGAGAACTTACCTGGTTGGCACTGTAGTTACTGGCCATGATCCTGTCCTGTTTACACTTGTTGCCTGGCAACTGCAGGAGGACAGCCTTCTGGGAGTACCTCCCACGATCAGCAGGGGTTGCCTACCTTCTGGGGCTCACACTGCCCCCTTCCTTTCTCTCTGAAACTTAGGTTCCTTTTCCTTTTAGAGTGTGGAGGACCAAATAAACATGAAAAAACGGGCAGAGAAGCAGCTGCCTCTTTCCCCAGTATGTTAGCCCTGCTTCAGAATTTCCAGGTTGTCTATGAATGACATCTTCAACTATTTAAACAAACTGTGGGACACTGAGAGCTGAGCCTGTGCGACAGTGTGGTATAATGAACTAACCATAGAATTAGGAACAGGGTGGGTCCGTATTTAACATGGTGTTATATGGCTTAAGCCCCTGGCTTCTCTTCGATAAACAGCTATCACTACATACTGTGGAGATGACCTACTTTGTACAGTGCAGGATAAAACGAATGAACCATCTAGATATTGTAAACGCACAGTGGGAACTGAACACAGCCAAGACACTGTTTACAGAATAACAAGGGCGCAGTGCTCAGGAAGCTACCAACTTGTTTGCTCCCAGAATGAAATGTGCGTCTCATCTTGGTCCTTAACTGACTCCTGTCTCCTCCATCACTCCACAGTCACAGAACCTAAGAACATAGGCTCATAGTGTCGGTTAGGATATGGCAAATCAGGACCTAGGGTGGGAAACTGAGCAGGGATGGTGACAGTGTAAGATTAAAGTACCAGGCTTGGGAGGGGCAAGTGATGGTGCCCAAACCTGCTAGATGTAAAACTAAGAAACCCTCCGAGGCTCATCCAAATTTCTGTTAAACCAATATACTCATCTACTGGGGTCTTAAAACTAAAGAGCACTTGACAGTTATATAGTTTCAAGTTTAAAAAAAAAAAAAGAGGAAAAGAAAACAAATCCAAAGAAATAGGTACTTCAGAGCCAGATATGGCTATTCATGCCTGTGATCCCAGTATTCAGGAACCAGAGGCAGGTGGATCTCAAGTTCAAGATCAGTCTGAACTACATAGTAGGACCCTATCTTTAAAAAAAATATGGAAGAGGCCGGGCGGTGGGTGCACGCCTTTGATCTCAGTACTCGGGAGGCAGAGACAGATGTGTCTCTGTGAATTTGAGGTCAGCCAAGTCTACGTAGTGAGTTCCAGGCCAGCCAGGACCACATAATGAGACCTGATCTCAACAAATAACCAACAAATATCCACATAACATAGGAGGGGGACTTGTTGGGGGGGCAGAGGGAGGTTTATTGGGAGGGATAAGAGGATAAGATCAGAATATAGACATGTATGAAAATGTCACATTATATAATTAATAAATCTGGTTTAAAAAAAGAAAGTGGAGGGAGTTGGAGAGATGGCTCAGTGATTAATGTTTGCTACTCTTGCAGTGGACCCAAGTTCAGTTTCCCAGCACCCATGGCTCATAACTCATAAGCTCCATAGAATCTGACTCCCTCTTCTGACACAACCACTCCAACCCATACATATGATTAAAAATAAAATCTTTTTTTCCTTTTTTTTTTTAAAGAAAGCAAGCTGCTTGTGGTAGCTGACACCTATAATCCCAGCACTTGAAATGCTGAAGCAGGAGGATTGCTACAAGTTTGGGGTTAGCTTGGCTTACTTGAGACTCTGCCTCCAAAATTCAGGGGTAGATAATTGCTAGTTCTTTCTTCCCCTAAAATCTTTATCCCATCCAACACACCCTGCATAAGGACACTCATAACCATTCTAGATAATGGGGTAAAAACAGCCCTTGTTAGGCTCTCACAGTTAACTGCTGGATAGTGTGACATAGGAAAGTTGACCCGTGTGCTTTGTCCCTGGGGTTCTCATTGCTCTCTAGAGTGATAGAAAAGACGAAGGACTGTCTCTGCTCTAGAACATCCATTTTGACAGCTCGGCACCCATAGTTCCTCTGGGAGTTTTTGCCTTTGTTACTTGCTATGAAGACGGTTTTCCTTGGTGCTGTGGACAGTGTGTAAGCTTGGAGCTAAGTGAGGACAGCCACTAGTGTCCATCCTGGAGCCAAACTATCTGGGTGAAATTCTAGATGTGCTTGGAATCGAAGCCTTCCTTAGGGAGGAAGTTCATTGGCCCAGGCCTCCGTGACCTTGAATGGAAAGTGAAGGCAGTCCTATTTCTTAGTTTAACTATGCATAACATGCTGTGGTCGACATTTGATACAAGGAGGCTTCAATAATTTTAACATTGTTATTGGCTTAAGAGCACACAGAGGGGCTGGAGAGATGGCTCAGGGGTTAAGAGCATTGCCTGCTCTTCCAAAGGTCCTGAGTTCAATTCCCAGCAACCACATGGTGGCTCATAACCATCTGAAATGAGGTCTGGTGCCCTCTTCTGGCCAGCAGGCAGACACACAGACAGAATATTGTATACATAATAAATAAATAAATAAATATTTTAAAAAATAAAAAATAAAAAAAAAATACGGGATGCTTCGTGTTTTGTATAGCACAGGGGCCATGCTGATCTCTGTATTGTTCTGTGCTATGGCTCACCCCGTGGCAGGAGTATACAGCTTGAACTTTTAATGTATTTCCTCCCCATGACAAAAATATTAAACCAAAAACGATGAGTAAGCAGTTATTGTTAAAGACTTAGGCATCTATTTCCCCTACCACACGACTTGGACCACTTGAACCACTATCTCTAGTATATTGTCAACCCTCCAAGATTTCTCCCAAGTAGCTCCAAGGAGCCCTGCATCCTACCTCCCTGGTCCAGATGGTGAAAAGGTGCTGGAGCGGAGACCTGGGTTTTGTAGGTTTCCCCATAAAAACGGAAATAGTTTTGTACACAATAAGTCAGAAAGCTATTATTAATTTTCTTCTCTGAGATTACAGCACCCCCTAATGGACATTATGGACATTGCTATTTTCTCTCCCTCTCTGTCTCTCGTCTGTGTGTGTTGTGTATACAATAACAAAAACAAAACTGGTAGTTTTTTGTTTTTTGTTTTTTTGTTTTTTGCCAAACTACTCAAGAGATGGCACAAACTAAATTAGAATTAACGAAGAGGCAGAAAAGAAAGAGTGTAAGTCACAGTTGGTACCACATAGCTCAGATTAACCTTGAACTTCCAGAGTAGCAGAGCCTGGCCTTGAATTCCAGGTCCTCCTGCCTCCACCTCCTGAGCAATGGGATTGGATTACAAGTGTGACACACTCAGTTGGAGGAAGAAATTTTTTTAATCGAAAAAATCTGCAGTCAATGGATTTTCAAAAATAGAAAATCAGCCAAACAAAACTGGTCCATGCATCAAGTGTGAAGAGGTGAGTTAACATCTAAGAATCACAGACCCTGACTTTGAGCTTGGGCCTGCTGAGCTCTCAGGCTCGCCTCCATTCCTGGAAGTGCCTTCCTCGTCTTTATCTTCAGAAACTATTTCTACCAGTTATTATTATTATTATTGTATTATTGTTTTTATTGATTTTGTAAGTACCAGGGATTGAACCTGGGCTTAGCACATGCTAGGCAGCACTCTGTCACCGAGCTACATCCTCAGTCCTTTTAGCTTGTTTTGGAAATTGCTTTCCCTGGGCCAGCGAGATGGCCACAGGAGTAAAGGTGCTTTACCACCAAGCCCGACAGCCTGAGTTTGACCCCTGGGACCCGTGTGGTGGAAAGAGAGAGCTGACCCCTGGAAGGTGTGGCTGGGTCTGGTGTCCTGCAGGCTGCCCTTGAACTCACTGGATAGCCAAGGGTGATGCTGAAACCCCAACCCTCTGACCTACAGCAACTGAACTGCATCTCCAGCTATAAGAATAATTTTTAAGGGTTGAAGAGATGGCTCAGCAGTGAAGGGCACTGGCTGCTTTTCCAGAGGACCAGGGTTCAATTCCCAGCACCCACATGGCAGCTCACAACTGTCTGTAACTCCTGTTCCAGGGGATCTGACGCCTTCACATGGACCTGCATGCAGGCAAAACGCCAATGTACATATAATACAAATAAATAAATTATAAAAAATAATTTGTTAAAACAAAAAAATCAATTCTCCTTTTCTTTTTCTCTTCCTCCTCCTTTCTTTGAGAGAGCCCCAAACTCAGAGCAGTCCCTTCTGCCTCAGTTTCCTGAGTTCAGGGGTTACAGTTATGTGCTACAATACCTGGACTCTTCTTCACAACAACAAAAAAATATTTCCCCTGAGACATGGTTTCTCTGTGTAGCCCAGGCTGTACTGGAACTAGTATTGTAGACCAGATTGGTCTCAAATTCAGACCAACCTCTGCCCAGCTCTGCCCCCCGAGTACTGAGATAAAGGCCTATACCACTATGTCTAGCTCACAAAAGAATTTTTTTGAAAGAAGAGTTTGTTATGATCCAAGTTATATATCCCTGAGTTGTGATACATTGTACCATAACACGTTTTGAAGGGTCTGGACACAACCCACGCAGACCTTAGCCTCCCTGTGCTAGGACTGCAGGCATGCCACCGCGCCCTGCTCACCACAGCCCTTAAATTATGTGAGTACTAGTGTCAGGAACAGGAAGACGCGGTGGGAGCCCCCTGAGAACAGAGCAGCAGAGAGTTGAGGGCAAAATTAAATTCCAGAAAGTGGGGCGGTAAGCACATAAATGTTAAACCTGGCGGTGGTGGCGCACGCCTTTAATCCCATCACTCAGGTGGTAGGGGCAGGCAGATCTCTGCGAGTTCGAGGCCAGCCTGATCTACAGAGCAAGTTTCAGGACAGCCTCCAAAGCTATAGAGAAACCCTGTCTCAACTCCCCTCCCCCGCCAAACAAACCCTGAGAACCAAAATCTAAGTTACTCAACTCGGAATGCTCAGAATGGGGAAAGACTCTTGACTTCCTATTACCTTTGCTTAGAAAGATGTGGTTAACATACTGGCTGGTGACACCTAGGGAGAAACACTGATGTCTAGGAGAAGATGACTGACTTTCCAGAGCCAGGTAGAGGATCCTGGGGGAGCCTCCAACCCAGGGCTGTCCCAGCTATGGTATCATGAGGGTAGCTTCCATTCCAGAGCTGTCCCAAGTATAGTGTCATGGGGAGGCTCCACTCCAGGACTATTTCCATAAGCTGCTTCTGTCCAGTATTTTCTCACAGTGCTGAGAAAAATAACTATTATACAAGCCACATTATATCTGGTACTTTTCCAGGACTTTGCCAGAAGGGAGTTCATAACTTTAAAAAAATAGATACCAAGCCAGCCTGATACTCATAGCAAGTTCCAAGACAACCAGGACTATACAGAGAGACCCTGTCTCAAAAAAAGAAAAAAAAACAACAAAAAAGCCCTGAATAAATAAATAAATACAGGACATTTAAAGAATCCTGAAAGCAGGAGGTAGAAATGGGAACACCCCAAGTAGGCTTGGGCTATGTAGCAAAACTCTGTGGGAAACAACAACAACAAAAACTGGGCAGTGGTGGCTCATGCCTTTAATTCTAGCACTTGGGAGGAAGAGGATCTCAGTGAGTTCGAGGCCAACCTGGTCTACAAAGCAAGTTCCACAACAGCCAGCACTGTTACACAGAGAAATCCTATCTTGAAAAACAAAAAACAAGCAAGCAAACAAAACAAAACAAAACAAACCCCCCTCT